CATGATAATGCATTGCTGTAAGGAGTATGGGTTTTCCACCCTGCCACCGCTGGTCTTGTCCTGCCGCCGCGCCAGCCCCAAATAACACACTGAGACTCTGTATTAGATATAATTCTGTTGGCCCAGTTACTTGTTTCTTATCGGCTAGCTCTGCCTTAATTATTAACCCATTTCTATGTATTTCCACGTGGTCTTACCGAGAGCAGACTCCTCCTTCCTACTTCCTCTTTCCTCCTTGTCTCCTAGTCCCTCCTATCTTCCTTCCCTATTGGCCAACAGTGCTTCATTATTAACCAGTATGAGAAACATATATAGAATGACATCTCCCATCACATTGCATTGTTTCCATTTTGGTTATTGAGGCATTAGATATGGAACAAATTGTTTTCTAGTTGGTCATTTTTATGTTCCATGTCTTCAGTTCTCTATTGCCATCTTAAATATTCTGAACCTTTTCCTCTAAGCTTTTTATGTTTTTCATTCTAATTTTAATCTCTCCATTGTCATTTTCAATATTCTGAACCTTTTTTTCTAAAGATTCTATGTTATGTGTTCTAATTTTCAGCTGTCCATTGTCATTTTCAATATTCTTAACAAATTTTTCTAAACATTCTATGTTTTGAGTTCTAATCTTCAGCTCTCCCTTATCCTTTTCAATATTCTGAAACTTTCTAAACATTCTATGTTTTGAGTTTAATTTTAAACTCTCCATTGTCATTTTCCATATTTTGAATCCTTATTACTAACTCTCTTATGGTTTGTACAAGTTCCTTATTATCTGGTATAATCTCAAATAATTTATTCAAAAATATCATAATAATGATGAATGAAACCCATTGCAATTACCAGAAAAATGTATATATTGGTTAAGTCATGATTTTCTTATGTTAACATTCCTTCTATACAAGAATTAAAAGAATTCCTAAAGTCCTGCATTGTAACATAGTTTTGGGATATTATATTAACTTAAATTGTGAAGAATGTTGCCTTAGGTGTAATTCTGCTGTCCTGGAACTTTGATGGTTTTAGTTGTGGTAGTTACGCCTGGAGGTGTCCACCAAATAGCGTCTGGCAGCAGATGATCCTTCTGATCTTGGTCCCTGTAGCTCTTAACAAACTATGGCAAGCAAAATTTCGTTAGACAAATGAGTAAAAGGAGCCTTGTAGAATTGCTGGGACCACAGGGCTAACCGCGGGAAATGCACAAGCAGGGTGGGCGCCACGCGGCTCTGCGCTAATGAAAAGTGGGGAAATGGGCAAAAATGAGAAGCAGTGAGTGCCTTCTTGGGGTCACTGTGGAGGCAAAGGAGTTGTAGGCCAGAGGCAAATGTCCCAAAGCTGTGGTGTGTCCACCTGGTTAGACAAGGGACCCTGCCCATTTGGGAATGGTGGGGGAAGGGAGCCGCTTCTGCTGCCTGGGTGAAAACCAGGTCTGGAGAAAATCTGGATCCCACTTCTGTTATCGTGGTTTAATAAGGATCAGGATAAACAATTAGGCCAAACAGATGTTTATTCAGGGAGAAATAACTCACAACATAGACAGGTGAACACCAACATGTTCCTGCTTCCAAGAATTCCTCTGGAAGTCCTTCTGTCTTTGTGCAGCTTGCAAGAGCACTCTCCTGTGCCTCCTCCGACCTAATTCCCCAGGTCACTTCCGCCCCTGGCTCCACCTCCAATGGGTGTGGTCAGTGCCATAGAAGGAGACAAAGTGAATATCCCACTACAGAGGCCCTGAAAGACAATATGAGAAAATCCCTTAAAGAAATGGAAGAAAAAACAAATGAAAAATTGGAAGAAATAGAAGAAAAGACCAAACCCAAAAAAAAAAAAAAAAAAAAAAAAAAAATGCAAGAAATGAACAGATTTCTTCAAGAAACTGAGGAAAGCCAAGAAAATCAAACAGATGAAGGAAACAATTCAAACAGTTCAAGACCTGAAAACTAAAACAGAGACAATAAAGAAAACACACACTGAGGGAATGCTGGAAATAGAAAAACTGGGCAAATGATCAGGAACTACAGATGCAAGCATAACCAACAGAATACAAGCCCTAATATATACAGACGATAAAGGGGCTGAGAAAGAAATCAGAGGAACAACACCCTTTATAATAGCCACAAACAACATAGAGTATGTTGGGGTAATGCTTACCAAACAATGAAAGAACTTTGTATCTTTAAAGAAAGAAATTAAAGAACATACTAGAAAATGGAATGATCTCCAATGCCCTTGGATAGGTAGGATAAACATAATAAAAATGGCAATCTTGCTAAAAGCATTCTACAGATTCAGTGCAATCCCCATCAAAATCCCGGCACAATTCTTCACCGATCTTGAAAGGATAATACTCAATAGTATATGGAAAAACAAAAGACTCAGAATAGCCAAAACAACCCTGCATAATAAAAGAACTTCAGGAGGCATTACCATCCCCGAGTTCAAGCTGAAAACAGCTTTGTATGACCACAAAAATTGACAGGTAGACCAATGGAATCAAATAAAAAATCCTGATATTAACCCACACACCTACAAACACCTGATTTTTGACAAAAAGCTAAAAGTATACTATGGAAAGTGGAAAGCATCTTCACCAAATGGTGTTGGCACAATGGATGATGGTGTGTAGAAGACTGCAGATAGAACCATGTCTTTTGTCATGCACATAACTTAAGTCGAAACAGATAAAAAAACCTCAACATAAATCCAGCCACACTGAACCTCTTAGAAGACAAAGTGGGAGATACACTTGAACAAATTGATACAGGAGACACCTTCCTGAACATAATACTAGTAGCACAGACACTGATATCAGCAATTAATAAATGGGACCTCCTCAAATTGAGAATCTTCTGTAAGGTAAAGGAAATAGTCGACAAGACCAAATAGCAGCCCACACACACACTGGGAAAAGATCTTCACCAACCCCACATCTGCGAGAGGGCTTATCTCCAAAATATACAAAGAACTCAAGAAACTAGTCAACAAAACACCAACAAGTGGAGTACAGAACTGGAGAGAATTCTCAATAGAGGAATCCAAAAAGGCTGAAAGACACTTAAGAAAGTGGTCAGCATCCTCATTATCAGAGAAATGCAAATCAAAACAACTCTGAGATACTATTTTACTCCTGTCAGAATGGCTAAAATTAGACAGCTTATGCTTGAGAGGATTTGGAGAAAGGGGAACACTCCTACACTGCTGGTGGGAGTACAAACTTGTACAGCCATTTTGGAGATTACTATGGTGGTTCCTCACGAAAATGGGAATCAGTTTACCACAGATCCTGGCAATTCCACTCTTAGACATATACTCAAATGATCCACATCCATGCAACAAAGACATTTGTTCAACTATGTTCATAGCAGCATTATTTGTAATAGTAAGAACCTGGAAGCAACCTAGGTGTCCCTCAACTGAATAATGGATAAAGAAGATGTAGCACATTTACACAATGGAATATAATTCTGTGGAAAAGAAAAAGAATGGAATCTTGAAATTGGAAGGCAAATGGATGGAACTTGAATAAACCATCCTGAGTGAGGTAACAAAAAGAGGAACATGGTATGTACTCACTCATATATGGATTTTAGACATAGAGCAAAGGATCAGCAGCCTATAATACTCACTGCCATAGAAACTAGGATATAAAGAGGAATGTAAGAGATTCAACAGAAGGGGAAAGGAACAAGCTCTCCTGAGCATATTAGGAGTGGGTGTGGGCAGTTAGTGGAGAGGGAGTTAAGAGAAAGAGAAGGAAAGGAGAGCAGAACATTTGGTACCAGGAAGATTGAGTCGAGGGATGAATAGACAAGAGCAGGGGAAAAAAAAAAAAAAAGAGAGAGATACCATATAGAGGGAGTGAAAACTGACTCTAGAGAAATGTCCAGAGACCTACAAGGATGACCCCTACTAACAATTTGAGCAGTAGTGGAAAGTCTACTTTATATGTCCTTCCCTGATAATGAGATTGATAACTAACTTTTATGCCATCATAGAGGCCCCCCCCCCTTATCTAGTATCTGCTGGAAACAGAACACTGAACTGAACTCCTGGAGTCCATTTGAAGAGAGGGAGGAGTGATAAGAAAAGGGGTCAAGACCAGGCTACAGAAACCCACAGAGTCAGGTGACCAATAGCTAGGAAACTAGCATTGGATCAACTCAGACCTCCTGAACATGGGTCTCTGTTAGAAGGCCTAGGCAGACTAAGGGACCTCTGACAGTGGAACTAGGATGTATCCCAGGTGCAGGAATGGACTTTGGGAGTATATCCCCCATGGCGGGATGCTCCTTTACCTTGGAGGCAGGGGGGAGGGCCTAGACTCCAATCCAAAGGACTTTACAGATTTTGATGATCCTTCCTGGAAAGTATCACTCTCCCTGTACAGTGGGGGGGGGGATGGGATGGGAGGTGGTGTTGGGGGCCATGGGAGGGAGGGAGCGGGAACTGGGATTGATATGTAAAATTAGAAAAAAAGAAAAGAAAGTGATACATGGTTATTCCATAGAAGTACTTGATAAGGAGGATTAACTTAAAAAATGGAGACATGTAAATTAAAATATGTTCATTAGGAAAGCTTTCCTATATGATAGTCTTGACACATGTTGGAAAAATATTAAAGAATGCAAATCGGCTAATGCTATATACATGGAGGTTTCTAGACTGAATTAATCTTCAGGATCTTAACATGTTGTTCATTAACTTTAAAAAATTATAGGAGCAGTGCTTCATTTACAAAACATTATAGTTTGAGCAAAAGGTTTCTTTGTGAAGATATTTAAAAATCTTATAGTTGAAATCATAATGGTACAGAGGGATTGAGATGTGAAAGTTTTCTTCCTCATTACTGCAGTTCAACTCATTGCATGTTAATGCCATTGGGTATTCCAACTCCTGTTCCAGCCATAGCTGCTATTAACAACTTGTTAAGAAGTATTTGTCATATATAAGTCTTAAGTTTTAAAATTTTTTGCATTTCATTTTACTTTTTGGTGAAGCCGTGACTGCTTTGGAACTGTGAATATTCTTTTGAAGTATGGAGCCCAGTTAAATGACCTTCACTTGGCATACTGCCTGAAGTATGAGAAGTTTTCGATGTTTTGCTGCTTTTTGAAGAAAGTTTGCCTGTTGGTTCCTTGGAATCATATATCTGAATTTATAACTTATGCAGTTAAAGCACAAAAAAAATATAAAGAGTGGTTGCCACATCTCCTGCTTGCTGGATTTGACCCATTGACTCTGCTGTGCAGCAGCTCTTGGTAAGAAATCTTTCTAGTGGACCTTCCCATTGGTAATGATACTGCCTCAAACATGTTATCAGTTTTTGAGATCTGTGCCCTAGGAGAAGAGTTGTGTGTATGTGTGTGTGTATGTGTGTACACACTGCCATAGATGCATTGTGTGAGAGTACTGACCACTATGCTGGGGTGAAAGGGTTCAGGGCTACAGAGAAATTGATCTTAAAGCATAGAGGGCTATAAGAAGAAGCTGCAAATGTTTAGGAGAGGTATGGCTTCCAGGGTACTTTCCTGAGGGATGTTTCTTCTACTCTTGGCCATCTGTTGTGCCTCTCTTTTTATTATGGAGACAAGAATCGTAGTAGCCTTGACTTAGTTTTGACTGTGCAGTTCTACTGTATCAGCTTTGTGAGTGCTGGATTATAGGAATGTAATGCCAGCTTAACTTTTTTATACGTTTCTTAATTTGTCTGTGACAGAATATTTCTGCCTTATTGCAGCTTGTCTTTGGAAATTTTTCGCCCTTACTACATAATGTTTTTCAAAGTTTTTGAAGGTATATCTTACTTAGTTGTAGTTTTTTTCCCTTCAGGTTAGCCATTTATAAGAGATTGTATGTGTGAGGAATCAGGATTCTGTGGTGATTGTTTCTACGCACTTCCAGCATTAGCAAAAGTTGTTATCTGGGATAGATGCCTGAAGTATAGCATGTGTAAAAAAAGCTCTTGGTCTGATAAGTCAAATGAGAAAATAGAACCAAAGTCTCCAGTTGAATAGAGAACCTGTAATTTTGTAGGATTTTATTGAAACATCCATTAGCCTCAGAAGAGTCAGTTTCAAGAGGAACATTTCCTATCTGCAAGTTGAGTTTCATTTCTTTGGACTCTTCTTTCTACCCATGGCCTCTCTTTATGTGAAGAATTAACCTTTATTTGATAGTGTATCCTAGTATCTCACTTTCTCATTATCACTACCTGCAATGTAGGAATTGTCATCAAGCTTTTATGCTTCGGACTGTCATCTCTCTCTGACACTTTCTTTCTCTTTCCAATCATGTACTAGTGAAGAGAAACTGCTCCTTGGTCAGTGTTTTGGGGAGTAAAAACAGTGCAAAGTGAGGTAAATCTTCTGAACCCACTTTCCTAATAACAGGTTGAATCTCTGATTGTAATGTCAACAGATTTATTAAAAAATTCATAGTTGCCTGTCAAGTGCCCTTAGTTGCCATTGCCTTTTTTATTCTATATTAATTTTTGCAAAACTCTATTTTTAAGGTAATTGAGTGAAATATGAGGATTACTGAAAACGCATGGAGACGTTTCTTATTTAAAAATTTGCATGTTTGTCATAACAGCTCTCCCTCCCCTAAGTATTTTAGTGAGGTATAAAATACTTGCAAATGCCAGTTATCAGTATTGTGAAATAAACTCACCATTGTATTAACAAAAGCACAGATTTACTTCTTGAGTACGTTCAGAAAATAAAAGATAGCCAACCCCCCCCCCCAAGTTATCATACACAGATACACAAGTTGAGTTTCATGTCTTTGGACTCTTCTTTCTACCCATGGCCTCTCTTTATGTGAAGAATTAACCTGTATTTGATAGCAATTTTTATTCTCTAATCAATATATTTCAAGTATACTTTCAAATACAGAAAACAAGTTGTTTTTGAGACACGTTTAGAGTATTAGTTTCTTTACCTTCTGTTTGTGTATGGGGGGGTGTATGTTAATTAGTCTGCATGTGTTTGTGGAGGTCATGGGGCAATTAGGATTCCTTCTGTCAACCCCTTTCTTTTCTCAATCCTATTTCTGAGGAACCCACAAGTGAACTTTACTTTTTGGCTCCTGTTTTATTCCTTTATTCAGTTGCTCCCTACTGGAGGTCTGCAGAAATTGAACTTGAAAAGATTTTTTTTTTTTTTTTTTTGGTAGGAATTGAATGAAAAAAATGAGGGCATGCCTTCTAAGGAAAAACAGAGGCTGAGGCAGAGTCACCTGGGAGAGTCCAGAATTGATATGACTAGTTGACTGAACTGAGTCATGTGAGGGTGGAAAGGGGGAGAAAGAGGGAGGTAAATAGGGGAACCAGGATTCAAGAGACCAATATAGTAAAAATGGCTGGGTTATGGAGGGAAGAGAAACTAGGGGAAGAGGCCCAGCACAGTCAGTTGGTCATTAATAGGTGCTGGCAATGCTGAGAGAGGCTGGCAGGCAGAGTCTGCTTTGATATGTTAAATAGGCACCTTGGCTAGTCATTTGTCTGATTTGAGAACTAACAGTAATGTAGTACACCTGTTTTTATTCAAAGGATGTGAGGATGTCTAGTTGAGCTTAGACAGTAATTTTGTTAGGGTTTTGAATTCTCTTAAAGTTTTGACTGTATAGTAATGTGAGATCTCTTGGAAGATACAATACTGAATTTTTCATGTTTTATTAATATTCAGTATTTAATATATTGTATACTTTTTGTTTTTCAAGACAGGGTTTTACTGTGTTGCTTTGGAAATTGTCCTAGAACTTACTTTGCAGACCAGGATGTCCTGGAACTCACAGAGATCCACCTGTTTCTGCCTCCCAAGTGCTGTGATTAAAGGAGTACACTGCCAACATCCAGTCTATATTGTAGACTATTTATTATATTCTTGAATATTATTTCTATAAAGTCTGCAAAAGTAGTTATGTATTATGTAAGAGTCCTAGGGCTTAAAGAATTGAGACATTTAAGTAGCAGAGGTGTTTTAGAAATCAGGATTTACTTTAAACCACTGATTATTTTTATTAGTTTTCAAGTATTTCTAAAACTTGGGGAAGGCTCTTCTGGGCAGACTGGTAGGGAATCCTGAATTTTGAAAGAAGAGAAGAACTATTAGTATGGAACTCATATTTCCATCTTAAAGCTGAATATTATGTTGCATCACCCTCTAGGGCTGAATCTATAATGAGGAAAGTTCTTAGAACAGCTGTACAATCCCTGGGAATGGTATGGAGGTGAGGTGGGGCTGGAGAATTGGAGAGCCATCTCTCTTGTATACTCAGCTTATTGGTGAATGAAGTATTTGAGCTTTATGTTTTCTGTATCATTCTTTGTGTACAGGGATGGCCAGACTAAATTTGGCAAGAGAACTTAGTTGGGAAGAAGTAATAACAAGTTCACCCAAGACATTGGAGGTTTTTCCAATTTGAAAGAAGGAGCCTATTCTTCATGAGGGTAGCCATTCCTTGTGAGGCCTCTTAGTGAGAGCTGCACTCAGAGTTTAGTTCATTTCTAGGAGTATCTTATATTATTAATGACTACTGAACTTGCCATAGTTTTGTGTATACTTTCTGTGGTGTTTCTTTTTGTTCATTTTCATCAAGTCCTTGTAAAAATAGGAGTGTGATATTTGCTTCTAATACTAGCCCTAGATATGTTAATATTTTGCTTTTGATGATCTGTTAACATGTTGTTGATACAGGGTTGACTCAGTCAGTGATGACATCCTTATTTTTACTTTGGAATTTTCTAATTGGAAGAGACTTCCACCAGCTGTTGAAAAGATTATCTCTGCTCGTGCAAACTCTTCTTGGGCTCTTCAGCAACATATGGGTAAGACAGAACAGAATCAGACATACTGCACTTTTCCTTCTCTTGGTTCTCTTGCTATGTTGGAATTTTTTGTGGATTTGTTAGAGACCATATAGTAAATTAGGCATAATTTGCATTTCCTTACATGTGGAAGGATAGGGAAAGGATAGTAATTTTCTCAGAGAATTGTGTCTGTTCATAAGTTTAGCCTACAGATTTTATAGAGAGCAGATAGTTGTTTTTACTCAGTGATATACTTTTGCTGTTATAAAAATATATAAACAAAATATTTATTTTTTTTCTTTAAATTTGAAATGAGCTTTTTAAACATGTTAATCCCAGTTCCCACACCCTCCCCTCCTCCCCTGTCTCCCCCAACCCCCATCCCTTCCCCTTTCTGCCACCCAGGCAGGGTAAGGCCTACCATGGAGGATCTTCAAAGTTTGTCATATCATTTGGAGCAGGGCCTAGGCCCTCCCACTTGTGTCTAGGCTGAGCGAGTATCCCTGTATGTGGAATGGGCTTACAAAGTCTTCTGATCACAGGCCCCATACACAGCTCAGTCCTCCTAACTGTCATCCACATTCAGGGGATCTGAGTTGGTCCTATGCTGGTTTTCCAACTGTCAGACTGGGGTCCATGACTCTCCCTTGTCCTCGGTGGATTTCCCTAGGATGGTTTTGACCCCTTAGCTCATCACTTCTCCCTCTCTACAACTGGATTCCAGGACATCAGCTCATTGTTTAGCTGTGGATCTCTGATTCTGCATCCATCAGCTACTGGGTGAAGGCTCCAGGATAGCATTTGAGGTAGTCATCAATCTCATTATAGGGGAAAGGCATTGAAGGTAGCCTGTACACTGTTGCTTAGATTGTTAGTTAGGGTCATCCTTGTGGATCCATGGACATTTCCCTAGTGCCAGATTTCTCTTTAAACCTATAGTGCCTCTATTAAGGTAACTCTTTTCTTGCTCTCCTTCTCTCTCTCTCTCTCTTTTTCCAGTTCTTTTTTTTTTTTATTTTTTTTTAATTTTATATAACCAAGTCCATTTAAATGAAAACAAACATTTATAGACAATATTTGGGAATTTGGGTGTCGTTCTTTCCAAACTTCCTGCTGGTAAGGGACGCTGTCATGGGGGATTCTAAACCATCCCTGCATTCCAGGGATGAAGCCTACTTGGTCATGGTGGTTGATTTCTCTGATGTATTCTTGAATTCGGTTTGCCAGTATTTTATTGAGTATTTTTGCATCGATGTTCATCAGGGATATTAGTCTGTAGGGATATTAGTCTGTAGTTTTCTTTCTTAGTTGTGTCTTTGTGAGGCGTGGGTACCAAGGTTATTGTGGCCTCATAAAAAGAGTTTGGCAATAAACCTTCTGTTTCTATCTTGTGGAACAGTTTGAGGAGTAGTGGTAGTTCTTCCTTGAATGTCTGGTAGAATTCTGCATTGAATCCATCTGGCCCTGGACTTTTTTTCGTTGGAAGGCTTTTGATGACTGCTTCTATTTCATTGGGGGTTATAGGTCTATTTAAGTTGTTTGTCTGTTCTTGATTTAATTTTGGTAAGTGATAGTTATCTAGAAATTTGTCCATTTCCTTTGAATTTTCAGTTTTTATGGAATACAGGTTTTCAAAGTATGACCTCAAAATTGTCTGGATTTCCTCTGTGTCCATTGTTATGTTCCCTTTTTCGTTTCTGATTTTGTTAATTTGCATGTTCTCTCTCTGCTTTTTGGTTAATTCGGATAAAGGTTTGTCTATCTTGTTGATTTTCTCAAAAAACCAACTCTTTGTTGCATTGATTTTTTTTGTATTGTTTTCCTGGTTTCTATTTGGTTGATTTCAGCCCTCAAGTTGATTATTTCCTGGCGTCTAGTCCTACAGGGTGAGTTCCCTTCTCTCTGTTCTAAGGCTTTCAGTTGTGCTGTTAATTCTCTTATGTGACTATCCTCTGTTTTCTTCATATGGGCACTTAGTGCAATGAACTTCCCTCGTAGCACTGCTTTCAAGGTGTCCCATAAGTTCGGGTATGTTGTGTCCTCATTCTCGTTGAATATTAGAAAGTCCTTAATTTCTTTCTTTATTTCTTCTTTGACCCAGGAGTGGTTCAATTGCACATTGTTCAGTTTCCATGAGTTTGCAGGTTTTCTGGTATTTGTGTTGTTGTTCCAATTTTAAAGCATGGTGGTCCGACAAGATACAGGGGACTATTATCTTGTATCTGTTGAGGTTTGTTATGCTACGATTTTAGAGAAGGTTCCATGTGGAGCAGAGAAGAAGGTATATTCTTTTGTCTTTGGATGGAATGTTCTATAGATGTATGTTAACCCCAGTTGAGACATAACTTCTGTTAGTTCTTTTGTTTCTTTGTTGAGTTTCTGATTTGTGGTCCTGTCTAGTGTTGAGAGTGGTGTATTGAAGTCTCCCACTATAAGTGTGTGAGGTTTTATATGAGCTTTGAGTTTTAGTAGTGTTTCTTTTACGAATGTGGGTGACTTTGTATTAGGGGCATAGATGTTCAGAACTGCTTGCACTCCTCTATTCTTCTCTCGACTTGAATTTCCTGATCCTTCATGTGTCCCCCCCCTTCCCTTTCTCCTTCCTCCCTCCCTATGTGCTCCCAATTTGATCAGGAGATCTTTTCTCTTTTCTCTGGGTGTGCATATATGTCTCTATTGCATGGGAAATAAGATTCTGGGACACAATATAGGCTGATTGATTTCTATGAGAAATCACTTACAATCAGAAACAGATGACTGCTGTGGGTTCCTGCTCCAAGGATGCCCCCCAGATGCTGTCTCCAACCTGACCAGGAAGTAAGAGAGAATAAGACCCCAGACCAAATACCACATGCTCATCTATGCACCTGTGACCCAAATGGGCATGGTCAATGCCACAGATGAAGCTGGGTAGACCTCTTACTACAATTCCCCTTATAGTATAAAGAAAAGGATTTACACTTGATACAAAACTATATACAAAGATAGCAAATATCAAGTATGCTCTAGGGAAAGGAAATGTAAGAACATATACATTTAAACCCTATTGCAATGTAGCAACAAGAACAAAATGGGAAGAGCTACTATCCAGTCCTAGTAACCGAGTAAAAGGTGTAACAGAGATTACTATAGATTTGTCCTAAACTAGAAAGTTATACCTAATATTTCTATCTATGAAAAGAGAACAATTGTGACCATCTAATCTTCAACCTCATCAAGGACCTGAGAAGGAAGGTAACAATACTAGGGTAGGCAGGAAGTGCAGGTGAGCAGCTTCCAAAAGGTGTAGTGAAGACAGAAACAGCAGGCTACCTGGACAGTCATCTAAAGTCTCACAGCAATGTTAGGGCAACTAGCTTTGTTTAAGGCCTAGAATATCTGACAGACCAACACAGAACCAGGGAGTTAGAAAGGCTGTCTTATCCTGACTTGGCAAGGTTCAACAATCTATTCTGTTTGTCTCCTGCAAGCCAGCATGTCCAAAGTCATCAGTCAAGGTGGGGGCGGTTCTTTGCCCAAGAGGCCATTAGCCAAAGAAGGATGGACTCCAGAAGGAGTGACATCAATGCCAGCATACTCTCAGGAATACCTCGGTACTATCAGGAGCAATTGTGTCTCCTGTCAATGGAGTAGTAATATTAAAACATTTAAATGTCTATGAAATGTCTGAAGATCTAATATCTATGTCTGACTATTCTCATTGGTATAAAAAATATGGGTGATGATAATCTGTAATTTTCAGGAGCATAGCTGTAAAAATGGCTGAAACTCCAAAAATGATTTAGGAAGGACAATGAATACACACACACACACCCCAGAGATAGAATTGAAATGTCTTGACCAGAAGTAGAACTGTATAGTACAACATGATAAAAATATCCTAAATTGCATCAATATACAAAATGTCTTAAACATATGTAGAAGTGTGTGTGTATGTATATATATATATATATATATATATATATATATATATATATATTATGATAAAGATATTTGTGCACAAAACATCATAAACAGAAAAAGATCTTACACAATATGAAAAAATATAATATACAAATTATCCAAGAAAGGAATACAGACTTAATTTTACATAAGTTGCAGCATGTAAGTTGTATATAACTAATTATTTCTAAGATAATTCACAAGAATATATGATAATCTACTTATATCCCATCCTAACCATACCCTTCCCAATTATGCCCTATACCATATACCAGAGTCTGAACATCATCTTCCATACCCACCCCTAAGCAACTAAAAACCAACCCTGTGCAGGTGAATATTATCCCTTAATGCCAACAGTAGGGAAAGAGGGTGTTGTTTTCTTAGGATTGCTTCCTGCTGAAATGGGACAATGGCCCCATGGGATCCTGTAGAAAAAACATGAAGGCAACAAAATTTTTTGAGGGGACTAGCTGTAACATTTGTAGCTAGTCTTGAGTGGCAGGAAATGCTTGACCAAAGTTCTTATCTGAGTCTCTGGCCAGGGTGTAATAAGTTAGCTAGTTTGGAGTTGTCTTGAGTGTTATTGTCTCAAACTGGTTTTAGGGTGATGTTTGTAGTCCAGATGCATCAGATTGAATCAAGTGGAATTGATGAAGTGGAGCCCCATCTTCTTTCCAGAGAGTTCAAGGATTGCTGTTAAGAGTTGGTATTGTTCCTTGTGGAAAACTTACACATTAATATCAACACCGAAATTTAAACTTTTATAGGAATGCATATTTGGAAAGGCAGCAGTAAGGATGAAACTAAGTATGAGGGAAATTAGGATTTAAGAGACAAAACCAAGTTTAGACAAATGACAGTCCCTAGATGTAGTATTGTTCTGTCTTACACCAAATGGCTTCTTGATATGACAGAAACTCTGAATTGTATTTTAACAGCATGCTTGAAAGCCAAATCCAACTCCAAAGCCAGCATGGTTTATATGATTGGTACTATAAGAGTACTAGGGAGTAAAGAGAAATAGATTTTTGTATAGAAATGGTTCACCAGAATTAGATATTGTTACCATATGT